CCTGCTATGCATTTCAGTTGGAAGACTGGTACTGGCGGTTTTAATAGGTCACACTTACTCAGGGAGCCCTGGTTTTCTGGCTTCCTCGGTGTACAGCTGTAATGTGTATCACCGAATCACAGAAGGATTGAGGTTGGAAGGCACCGCTGGAGGTCATCTTATCCAACCCCTCTGCTCAAGCAGGGTCACCTAGAGCCGGTTGCTTAGGACTGTCCAGACGGCTTTTGAATAGCTGCAAGGATGGAGACTCTGCAACCTCTCTGGGCACCCTCACAGTAAAAAAAAAAAGTGTTTCCTGATGTTCAGAGGGAATCTCCTGTGTTTCAGTTTGTGCCTGTTGCCACTGATCCAGTCACTGGGCACCACTGAAAAAAGCCTGGCTCCCTCTTCTGTACACACTCCCTTTAGGTATTTATATACATTGATTTAATCCCTGCAAGGCTTCTGTAAGCTAAACAGACCTGACTCTCTCAGCCTTTCATTATATGAGAGGTCCTCCAGTCAGTTATCTTAGTGGCCCATCACTGGACTCTCTCCAATATGTCTGTGTCTCTCTTTTACTGGGGAGCCCAAAGCTGGACACAGTACTCCACATGTGCCTTACCAGTGCTGAGTAAGAGCCCTTGACCTGCTGGCAGCACTCCTCCAAATGCAGCCCAGGATACCATTAACCTCCTGTGCCTCAAGGGCCCGTTGTCTCATCATCAACTTGATGTCCACCAGGAGCCCTGCGTTCTTTTCTGCCGAGCTGCTTTCCAGGCAGTAGGCCCCAGCATGTATTAACGCTTGGGGTTGTTCCTCCCCAGGGACAAGATGTTGCACCTCCCTTTGAACTACATGACTAGAAGAGAGATGATAATATTTTGTGTGAAGTTATATGTTAATGTCAAAACTACTGCAGTTTAGCTGTTTGCCCCTTTTGCTTTAAGGAATGCTGATAAAGTTACTCAAGAGGTGGTGGCTGTAGCGTTGACTTCTAGGAGGGAGACACTGAGAAATGTATTCAGGATGGTTACTAGCTCTACCTGCTGGTGTCTGTACTCTTCAGGTGGTAATGGCAGTAGACTGCTGAAAGTGATTGTTTATTTGGATCTTGGAGATTTTAATAGGATAGGCAAACACTGTTAAAGAAAGGGCTTGCATTTATCTGACCCTGCAGTGTGGCAGTACTGTGGAATAAAGGACCTTTTGCAGACTTTTTTTTTTTTTTGGGGGGGGGGGGGCTGAAACAATTGCACTTTCATGTACACTGATATTTTAATCTAATTTCCTCAAGATGTACTTCTGCTGCACTTTGAGTTCAGATGTTTGCGTTCAAGTTGCATCTTTGAATCATTAGTATTTGGATAGCGGTTTGTGAAAGTTTTCCAACTAGCGGCTTACAAACAGCTGTCTCTTCTGCCAATAACAGGCTTAATCTCTCTTCCATTCCCCAAGAAAGGTAATGTTCAGATAAACTGGAATACATGAACACATTTCCTCTCTTTGGACGCTGGCTTCTTACTATCTGGGTGAATCTGGATGTAAACACTACTGAAATTACTGGGATTTTGCTTCGGAAAGCTTTTCTGAACCTGGGTGGTGGTTTTGTGTTTTGTTTCTTTTAAAGCACCAGCAGAAGTGGTAATCTAGCTTCTGCTTAAATCTGCAAGAATAAAGGGCATAAGCAAGGCAATTTTATTACAGCTGTGGATTTCACTTGTAAAATATAACCATTAGAAGAAATCGGGAATGAGATGCAAAACCATTTGGGCTCTGATCCTCTGTTCATATTTGTGGAAGGGGATCACTTGCAGGCTCTGTTGTTGATAGGGGTCTAGAGAGTTGGGTCAGTCTTCACTGTTGGGTCAAACTGGGGGATCGGGATCACGGTTCTCTATTAGAATTTTTAGAGATGCTTTTGTACAGAATTCTGAAAGATGCCAAAATGTTCTAGTAGCCTCACAAACTTATTTATTGCTTAGTTGTTTGTTTGTTTGTTTTTTAATCTGCTTACAAGCCTGACTTAAGGAAGAAGGATGAAGAGATGAACCTGTGCGTTAAATAATCCAAGGATAGTTTTAGTCATTGCAATTCTTGCATAACTTTGAGGATAATGATACAGAAAGACCTGTTCTGTTCAAAAGTTAAACAACTTTGCAGCAGTGGAGAGGAAATAATAAATTTTTACTGAGGCTTTACTGCAGTGACTTACTGTCCAATAGAGTGGAGTTATGTAAGGTATTAGGAGCCTTTTGTTTGTTAGAAAACACTGCTGCAAACAAGCTAGCTATCCTAGGTCTTTTTTGGAAGACAGTGCTGTTCTAACTTGATATTCTAGAACTTTAGGAAATATGTTCCCACAAAACCTCACAGATATTAATCCAAAGTAAGTCAGTAGCAGAATAGGAAGCTGCACTGAGAAGCAGTCTCCTTCATGCCTAATTTAAAATATTTCTGTATATTTATCCCATGGAGATGTATACTCCTTAAAATGACCTTTTATGGATCTTTCTTGTGCTTCCAGAGCAGCTAGTGGTGTGTCAGTCGTTAGATGGCAGAAAGCTCTGTGTTCACGTTTGTATTCAGTGAGTTTGGAGCAAATATTGTTACATGCATTCTTTCATTTTTTACAGCATTTGAATTAAAACTAGAAGAATTAAACAGTTCACTTTTAGCTTTTTCTTGACCAGATCCGAATTATTAGGGGTACTGCTTATCTGTAACATACAGGAATGTTTACTGGCTGACCAACCCAGAAACAGCAGTGGTGTAATACCTCTTCAAACCAGCAGCTGGTGATTTGCCTGATTTACACAGATCACACCTTTTTTTAAATACAGTGTGCAATTAAATTGCAGTTGAGAGAAAAAGGTTGTCATGTTGGCTGGGAAATTTTTGGTTAGCAAGAGGAGAAAATGGCATTGGGAAGTGTTGGTTTGATTCTATACTCTGTTTGCAAACAAACCCTCATTTTTTCTGAAAGGAAAACTGGAAAGCTTTTACTTGGATTGCAGTCTGCAATTCTAAACGGTTGCCTTCATTATCAGTACTTGTAAAATTGCTTGTTCAGGAAGGCTTTAGAAAATAATTTCCCTGAAGAGGCACCAATGTAGCAAATGCAAATTAAAAAGAAATTAACTGACCTTTCAAGATTATACGTAGCAGAATAAGCAGAAAGCAGGGAGGGACAACATTCCACCATTCCTCTGTTACTTTGAGGTTTTGGGTTTGGGAGATAGGGAACTAAGAATTTTTGAATGTGTTTGGTTTTTTTTTTTGTTTGGTGTGTTTGTTTTTTTTTATTTCAGATATACAATGACATATCTCTTAAGTTTTGGGTACATACAGATGGGTAGACTAGTGGCTGTGGTATCAGGAAAGTTGAAAGGTAGCAAAAGGTTTATTTTTACCATGAAAATCTTTGTATTTAACCAAAACTCCAAAAGACGAGGAGTATGTGTTTTGTTTTGATTTTGTCCAGCAGCCCGTTCCCTCCTGAGGCAGTGAATGACTTATCCTTATTATGAGCTCTACTTCTATTTATAATGCCTAGAAACCTTGGTATTTTGAAATTGCATGTAAAAACGTACTTTTAACAAAAAAAGTTCTGCTAATCATTGTGTTTGATTACAAATGCAGGCAAATCTAGTCTTCCATGTCTTTCCTCTATTCACTTAGTGGTTTTGGGGTGGAAGGGGAGGGAAACAAAGGACTGGTCATGATTTTCCTCTGTAAAGTCATACTATTATTCTTTACTCTTTTACTACTCTCAGATCTTATTTTCAAGGCTGTTTTGACAGTATTGGTAGACTCTGGGGTATTTTCTTTCTCCACAGTAATTCTGGGAATAGTGGCTTTTTTCTTCTCTTCAGCCTTTTTCCTTAGATGTAAAATGCTAGATCAGTTCCTTTTTGTATAAATGAAACCAAACTTAAATTTAAACATTGCATTTTAAATTTGGTTCAATTAAAAAGGTTTTGTTTTTTTTTTTTTTTTCTTTCAGTTGGGTGGTGAAACTTGGCTAAATCACAAACTGAGCAATACTGACATCTGGTATTTTGTTGCTATGCTCACTTGCTATCCCAGATACTGCTTTATCTATAAAGCATCATGATTTGAAGCACCTTTGCATTGATAAGGCACAATTGTAAACTAGTTCACACTAAGCACTAGATAGTAGAGGACAAAAGTTGGTTTGCTGTTATATTGAGACTATTTATTATAAGAGTTTCTCTCCTCTGAATTTTTCTTTATTGCTGTAGTTTTTATTTGGTGTATTTACTGAAGTATATAGTGTCTAAATAACAGATCAAGCAGATGCATAGTCTGCTTAGTGCTTGATGCATGTCCTGTAGCAAGTTATTTAACCATACTTGTGCAATGCATATATGTTCAATACAGATGTTAATGTTGGACATTTGTGGGGCTTTTTCAACAACACTTGTAGGTATTTAAATTGTAGGCACGTAATTCTTTTGCCATTAGTATATTGCTGTAAACAAAGAATACCTACTTAGCTCAAGCAGATGACTAAGTTAAGTTTGCTAACTCTGTGTCAGACATTACTATCTTTTATTGTACAACTTGATTTGGGGTCTGGTTAAGCAGATCAGTGATGCAGTACGATTTATGAGGTGCCAAGTAGCACATTAGCGTGGGACCGAGAGTTAACTGATTATCACTGTTAACACTGTGGAGGAAGAGTAGGGAAGAGACCCATGTCCATGATTATCTGCCTTCCCACCTCCGTAGACTCTGGAGTTGGGTTCTGTGGATTTGCAGCGGTGAAGGAGAAAAGCATTTAACTTTTACAAATTATAATTTTCATAACTATTTCTTGAAATCCCTACGAGTTTAATAAGTACTGTTTTTCTTTTGATAAAGTTTAAGAAACCTTGTGATAATGGAATCAACAAAACAGGACAGACACAATTACTGCTTCTGGAGTTACTTCTAAAGATAATTTTCTCTAGTGATCTTTCTTGATTCTAAACAATAATGTATTGTTTTGTTTTTACAGATGACTATGGATGAGAAATATGTGAACAGCATTTGGGATCTTCTGAAAAATGCAATCCAAGAGATCCAGCGTAAGAACAATAGTGGTCTCAGTTTTGAGGAGCTGTATAGGAATGCATATACAATGGTGTTGCATAAACATGGTGAGAAACTCTACACTGGACTAAGAGAAGTGGTCACTGAGCATCTAATAAACAAGGTATGTGATTTTATGAATGAAAATGAAAATGTCTTATATGAAAGAACTCTGAACAGTCCTTTAAGTTAGCAAAAAATCTAATGTTGCCTTGTGTTGAAATTGTGTTGCTACCCTCAAAAATGATAGCTTAGAGCTAACGTGAACCTTAAATGACTTCCTATTCCAGATACTGTTTGTTGTAAGTTACTGGTGGAGGGTGGACCCTAGGAAGTATTTGAAAGTGTGTTACAGGAAACAGCTTCAGCTGAAGAGAGCTCTCTTCTGCTGAGAGCTGGGAATTTTTTAAAACAGGTTTGTAGCCTTTTGGTGGCATTTTGTGACTTTCTCAGAACAAATTTTGGTTTGTTTTCCTGTCAGTTTTTTCATCTGTGGAACAAAATAAATACCAGTGTAGGAACCTGTTTGTTATGGGCTAATGAACTAATTCATAAGTTAATGAGAGAGTTTTGCTAGGATTATGCTATTTAAAGAGGTGGTAGCCAATGTACAAAAACATCAGCTCAGCAACAACTGAAGTCCTGAGTAGTCTGCGTTCTATCATTTCAGCCTTGTCAAAACCATGTAATTCAGTCAAATGACATGCAGAAACTTCCTGTTTCTGAAGATGAATCGTCTGAGAAAGGGGCTCTTCACATCTCACGTTAAGCCATGGAACCACTTCTTCAGTGTTTGTGAGGAAGGTTTAGGGTTGATTAAGAAGTATGTCATTGAAAAAAGTTAAAACTCACTTATTATGAGTCTAGATAATATCTAGTGGTAATAGGATCTTAAGTCTAGGGAAAATGCATTACTTGCTCCTTGTGGTAACATCCATAACTGCCTATCTTTGAAAAGAGACACATGTCCACTTTGATCCCATGTACTGGCTGTGGGTCCACATGGAGTATCAGATTTTTGTCCTGTTATTACAGCCTTTGAAAAGGAAAGTCGTACACCATCATGTGTCTTGGATGATTACTTCTGGCTGAATTACAGAGAGTGGATGGGAGGTTTATGTCTTAATAATGCATAATGCTTGGGGAGCTTTTTGCACATTCTAACTGGAGTTGCCGCTCCGGCAGAGCAGTGTGTTATTTCTCTTCTAAAATCTTAGTTTTCAAAGGTGTGATCCAGACCAGTATCATCTAAAACTGCTTTGGATATGGGGCTTTTTTACTGTTTGCACGAGAGGAAGCATCCTGTATGAAGTGACTAAATAATTTATGGCTCTATTCTGTAATTGTAGCACATCTGTGACTCTCAAACACTTCTGTTTTCATAATCTGTGCATTCATAATCTCTATTGTTCATATAAAATGTGTCAAATGGCTGAGGATTTTTGTGCCTTGTTCTTGTATGTGCCTGTCTCTACTTAATAATAATCATGACACTAAACTTTTATTCTTCCTAGGCTTTAGTTGATCCTGATTTAATTGAGGAAAGCTTCTTATCTTTGTTCATAGCTATTCTGCATATTAAAAATTACCCATATGGAAAATTAATTATTCTGAAGTGCTAATTGTGGCAAACTGACAAAGAGCAGATCCTGTGAGTTTGTATTGTCACTGCACTAGCTGAGAGGGTTGCACAGATACCAGTGTAGAGAAGTGCCTTTCTGACACTTAATGCTGTTGTATCTGATGCTTAAAAAAAAAAAAAATCTTCTCCAATCATCTAGTATTCTGATCTTTAACATGATTAATCAAATTCTATCTATGTGTATGGGTAACATAAAAATAGATGAACAAAAGGGTTTTTTGTAAATAAAAAGTTTAACTACTGAGTTTTAGTAGTTAAATGCTGTAGTTAAAAGGGCTAAATGATTCACATGTCTGATGAGGCATTCTATAAACTAAATAATCCCAGGAAAAGATTAAAAAAAAAAAAGAAAGTGTGACTTTGTCAAGTTCTAAACAGTAAAGAAAACTTCTGTAGGCTCAAAGCTACTCCTTGTCCTTTTTGGTGGTTTGCTTAAGGATGTTATGTTGAGGCAGTTATAGATGGAAGTATGGACAAAATAGTGCATTGTTGATGAAGAAATAGGATCACTTCTATAATGGTATCTTATGATTATGCCATTAGTACTTGTAAGATAAATAAAAAGAAGTTTTTGTTTAACCTTGCACTTCATTTAACAGAAATTTTAGAGGAATCTTGTATTTTCAGTGTTTCTTTCCAAGAGCAGTTCTCTGTTAAATATTAAGTAGCTAATTAACAATAAATGCTCTCATCACAAGCCTTTGTAAACTTCTATTCAGAAAATCAATGGTGGATACTAGAGTTAAGAAGAGGGGGATTTATTTTGCCAACTGAAATGTTGTCCATGAAATCTGTTAACTTTTATCAAAATGAAAATGTGCAGAAATGAACAGATTTTGAATAAAGGACTGCACTCGGTTCAGGAAGTGCGTCTGAGGAGCCAAACCCAAATTTTGAGTTGCTAGGGCCCTTGAAACAAAATTGCCATTTGCTCTCCACATCTGCTGGTTATCTTTGTACAAAAAAGTTACAGTCCTGTAGTATTCCAGTCATGCTGGTTAATTAAGAATAGATGAAGAGGCTAGGTAGAGGCAATGTATTTGTTCAGATGTTTTTACAAATAGTTTTCAAGCTTGGAGAGCGAAAGTGTTTATTTTTGGTGTGGCACAGTTAAGAGCTACATTTATACTTTACGCTTATTTAATTGCTAGATAAGTAAGCACAACTTTCAGCATTTTTATTAGAAAGAATAAAATAAAACTTTAAAGAAGAAAATTATTTAACTTAACAAGAAAATATAATACCGTGTACTGTCTTTACAGCCTGTTTAATTGTAAATAAAATGATAGGTGCAAAGATGATCAATACAAGATTTAAACATGCAAGCAAGTTTAAGTATGCTTGGTTTTGAACTTGCAAACCCTCATTGCTTGTAGGTACAGTCACCAGGTTCTGGCTGCTTGATGAAGGCAGTAGTAAACTAGGTAGCTTACTCTGTATCATTGGCAGGAGTCAGATGTCTTGAACTACCTTGTTTTTACTGCAGGGTAAGGACGTGTTAAAACTTGGCATTGCTTGTGTATTAACATCATTATTAAAGTCTAGTACATGTAGAATTGAATTTAAAAATACCATTGAATAAAAAGCACTGAAACCTTTCATCTTAATTCAAGCATTTAGTTCTTGTGCATCTGGTACTTCATTGATTTCTCCCTCTCATGTCCTTTGGCAATCTTGCAGCTTGATGTGGACACTCTTCCTTCACACTTCTTGAGCCTAGTCTGTTACTTCTTCACACAAATGTTGTAAAAGTGTTTTTAAAAAGCGAACACACAAGGCTTAGTTTACAGGTCTCTAAACCATTTGATGATAAGCAACACCACTTGTGTTAGGATAAAAAAATCTGAAAGTTAAAAAGTTTGCAAGATAATATTTTTAAACTTCCCTTCATTTTTATGAACACTTCATAGTCTAGTGAAATCTAAACCCATGACATGCAACATATCATATACATTCTGTAAATTGTGTGTGTGTGACAAAGGAATTGATTGATTTTGTTGGCCAAGCCCAATACAGTTTTGTCGGTTTTTCTGTGCAGTGTACATCAGAGATTCAGAGATGTAAAGGACTGTCCTAAGCTTAAATGGGCCAAAACATGCTGGTTTGGGAAGATACTAGAACATTATTGAAAAGGAAGACATGCTTGGGATATTCTCATGTCCTATAAGACTTCTTGATCTTACCAAACATTTCTGTTACTGTCTGTTGCTGGCATGCCAGAATGCTTTATGACATGGTAGTCTTTGCTGATACAACTGGTGGAGTTCGGTAGCGACAGTGCATGCTATTTCAGAATAATAATAAAGGCAGGCATGCAGGAAAGCCTTCGGTACAGGAGGCATAGAGCCAGTCATTGTGACAGTGGTTTTAAGTACAGAAGGAATTGTGTGAGGTGCTGGTGCAGAAGGTATGGGGTAAAGGAAGCCTGTCTGTCCTGGGGCTTATAAAGGTACATCTAGAATCCTTGGCAAGCTTTAAAATTTGCTGTCGTGGTATTGCAGAGAGAAGGGGAGAGACAAGGTAGGAATCTCCTACAGGGAGTTTGAAATTATTTCCATAACATCTATGCAATATGGAGGAATTACATGGGGAAATTAATTAGTGAGCATTAGGGGATACTGTAAGCCTGACTGACAATGTATGAAGTATTATCTGCCTTTATCTTTCCTTAGTGATGTTTTAAGATGATCTTGTGCAAGTCTGCAGTTTTATGGAGAGTGAAAGGATGTGAGGGAATTGCTAGAAAGTAAATGCAATTCAGAATCGTCAATATTCTTCAGTGTTGTTTTTTTATTCCTTTCAGCAAAAGGATAGCGGCTGCAGGGGTGAACAGACATTTCTGGTACAAGCATAGTTAATCTGTTAACTTAATTGGAACTCTAAGATTTTTAGAATGCGATCTTTTGGACTACTTGGACTTTTGTAGAAGATGAAGAAACTCTGTAATAAAAGCTCTGAGAACTTGAGGCCTTAGTGCAGAAAGTGCCGTTCTATACTGCAGCTCCCCACAGAAGGTTCTGGCTGTCCTTACAGTAGTGGAAGTTACATAATTGAACTATTTGTGCTGCTGCATCAGGCCAGGCACTCTAAGAGAGAAAATACTAGGCCATAAGTCTGCTTTGTGTACACTTAATAGAGAGCTCTTTAAAGGTATTGAAAGCTTATGCTATCAAACTCTTCTTAAGAGATTGGTGGAGGAGGGTGGCCTATTTCCATAAGAGCTATATCCAGTATAAAATACAGTTGAACCTGAAGTTTATATACAAGATTTCATCCTTGCAAATATAAGAAGACCTTATGTAGATTATGAAGCTGCTAATTTATTTTTGACACTGTATATGGACAGTCCTATTTAAGCTGGATATGCCTGCCGATTTACTGCATAACTGCAAAGATTGTCCTAGAAATCACTACAAGCTCAGCTAATTGAAAGTAACGTTCTGCTGGTAAAAATCTGAGATTGAAATTTTCTTAAGTCTTTGGAAGAGCAGCAGCTGTGTCTCTGAAGGGCTTACTTCTCAATAGAAGAGTGTGGTTATCCAGGTTTTTTTACGACGACTCATTTATTCCACCAACATGGTTTGACTCTGCGCCTTTTGCATGGCTAAGATGTTTTGTGCATTATAGTAACTTTCCTGTAATATTCTTGTATTCATGGCCCATACAAGGAATATATTCAATGCTTATTAACTAGGCAGCTGTTACAAGCAATAGTTTGGTTGGCTTTTGTAGTAGCAGCTAAAAGAATGGCTTCACAAACCTGTCTGTAGCTTAAAATAAACCTAGGAGAATGTTATTAAGAAGCTTCACAGAGACACTCTTCGAGTAGTTTTGTTGTACAGCACTCATTCCTGGATTTAAAACACGTTTCCAGAAAGCCACATGGCATACTCTTTGGAGCAGAGGTGGCACAGATCTGAGCATTCCCATGACTGCTTGGAAGAATTGCTACTAGGTGGCAAGCACCCCCTTTTGCTACCAGCTGGTATGTGATTTGACACTGGCTGGTCTAGTCGAGTGATTGTGATGGATGTGTGTAATTATAAAGGCACACTGCCTCTATGTTGTTAAAAAAAATAATAATCTTTGATCCTTGAAGAGTTCTGTGATGGCCTTGTATACTTGGGTAAAATTGATCAATCCCTGCCCTGGTTATCTGTGCTTGTGAACTAATCCTGCTTTTAGTTTTGCTTTAGTAAATTTTACTAGTGTGGATGACCTACCAAGTAATGTTTCCAGTATGTTTCCATATTGACTAAAGAAGTGGAAGCAACCATGTCATGTTTGTTTCTCTTGTTCTGGGAGATTCTGTATACTCTTTACAAGTACTGCTGGTGAAGTTTTTAAGGTGTATTTACATTTTAGCTAAAAACTGCATAGATTGGATGACATCAGAGCACACATTTGGAAGACCAAAGGGTAAATGATGACCACTATCAGAAAGAATGAGGCACCCAAGCAGTGCCTGTTGTGACTTATAACTGCGTATTGTGTTTCCCAAAAGCAAGGAGGAGAGGCGTTGCTTGGGTCTGGATAGCAGGTGTTTGAAGATTTAAGAAAGCTTTGGACAGCCTTACAAGCATACCTATATTACCTAGATTCAATAACAAGGTGGATATTATAGGGATAAGTTTTCACAGCTTCTTGAGAAGAGACCATTGTGTTGATATGATATTCCATGCTATGTTTCTGGTTTGCTCATCTAAGTTTATGGATTATATGTAGTAGTGTGGCAGACTGATTTATTTAATTTTTTTTTTGTTATGCTGGTTTTGCCTAGTAACTTCATAAAAAATGACAGAATGAAGTCTGTCAGGTGGTTGTATCTGATGTTGGTGCAGCTTGTGGCTGCTTGTCATGTGTGCTTTGTTTTCCTGTTTGAATTCTCTGTACTGAAATTTGCACTATCACACAAGTATAAATGCAAATCTATGAATGTAAAAAATAAATTCTGTTTGGTTACAACAGAGGGCAGAATGTATTCTGCATGTTATATCGAAAGTCAATTCACATGTTTTTTTAACTCTGGAATAATTTTTTTTACATTCCCTCAAGTTTCTCTTTTATATGAGTTTAAAGCTTGAGCACTGTAGTATATGCCTACTGCATGAAAATCAAAATACGTAACTGGCTGTACTTTTTTTATTAGTATGGAGTAATTGTGTCAAAAGAAATAAAGATTGAAGTCGCTGGGACAAATGGATCAACTAGCAAATACGTTTGTAAAAACAGTGATGACATTCTTTTCTTCTTGGAGTCTTGTTGTTGGAGATTATGGACTATTAGTGTAAGAGTCTGGTCTCTACCAAGTGACTGTTTCCTTTCAGGACTATTTGCTGTAACTTTATGCTATCTCAGCATATCTTTCCGAATGTCATCATGGCCAATTTTCCACCTGTACTTTTTCCTGTTCGTAACATTTACTGGTACTACCCAATATTCTGAAATTATTTGTGACAGTAAAGTTAACATTAATTGAAACACTATGGCGTAGGAAATTAAACCTTTGAGGAGATGTAAAAGAGTATTTTTAACATTTGAGATTTCAGGTATTCTTTTGAAATTTAATATCCATGTTTATTTTGTTGCTCTTCTTTTTAACCTGATTTTTCTTACTTATGTGAAGTCTTACTTTTCCACAGAAGTGAAATACAGAGTAGGAATAGTCAGCACTGAGGAAAAGCTAGAACTTAGTCGTAATATTCAAGTTCATAGAAGAGCAAGAGTTATTTTTTTGAAGCTAAACTTGTTAAGATTTAGATGATGCAGGAGAAACTGACTTGGGTTTATGACAATGTATTATTTTTTGCTTCAGGTGAGAGATGATGTGTTAAACTCCTTGAATAACAACTTTCTACAAACACTAAACCAAGCATGGAATGATCATCAAACAGCGATGGTGATGATTAGAGATATTCTGATGTATATGGTGGGTATTCTGCTTTTTCACACATTTGATTTGATGCAGTAAATGTTCTTTTGACAAATGTAAACGAATAAGCCAGAGGGGTAAAAAGCAAGGCATGCTTACTGGTCTTCTTCCTAAGACTACTTGTCTGCCCCTTGTTTTGAATTCCTGTGTGCATGCAAGACTATTACGGGTGTGTGACAAATTATAATTAGATTCTTCTTTCAGGTTGTCTCATCATCAGTTGAAAAATGTACCTGAAAAATGGCTGGATTTTGCAATTCTTAAAAAATAGGCTAGTCAGATCCATTCGGGCAGGTTATAGATAGTATTTGCATGTTGCAGTTCACGTAGTGGTGGTTTCTTACTCTGGAAAGCATGATGGTGTAAAGCCTCCTCAAACTTCCAATGTAGCTGTTGTTCTTTAAGCTTAAGGGTTTGAAGAGGATAACTTTGCTTAAGTACAGTGTGTGTCCCTGAATGTTAAATTTGAACTGAATCTTTTGCTGGTCATACAGAGCTTGGGTACAAGTTTAAGCAGTGAACGTAGATGAGAATGTGATCTTTGGTTGCATGGTTGTAATTTTAAAAGAAAAAAGAAAAGCATTCCTTACCTGGGAGCTAATGGAAAAGTCCTTTTTTGAAGAGAGAGGGCCTTACATTTTTGTGTCTGGATTGTGTTATACTTTAGGTAGTTGGTATATGTTTAAATTCCGAGAATGGTGGGTGTGCTCTGAGGATGCAGGAGAGTGTATTTATGCATAGCTTCTAGCCAAAGGCTTTAACTTCAGAAGGAAACGAAATATGTGTTGAGATACTGCAGGTTTCTATGTAAAATATTTTTTTTTAAATATTATACTGAAGATAGTACTTTATGCAGTATTGGACAGTGAAGGACAGATAATGGTAGCACTTTCTTTTTGTCAAAAAAGATGATTAACTGAGATTGTGCTCTATCTGCTGAACAACTGGAGTTAAGATCTTACCTTGTAGCTGTTGAAGATCTCATGCTATGAAATTGAACCTGTTTGTATTAGCTGTGAAGAAATCCTCCTTGGTTAATAAGGTACTAAAAGTTAAAGAATTTGGAGTAATTATTGTAGCCGTATAACTTTTTTTTTTTTAAAAAAAAATGGATTTACTGGCTTTCATATTGTGGGTTTTGTGTGATTTTTTGTTTTGTTTTTAAGTTGGGAAAAGGCCACATATCTAAAGACAAGAGGGCTGGATAAAATGCCTTCAGTGACACGTAATGATCTGTGTATCTTATCCTGCCAAAAGGAAGATTGAGAGATTATTTTGAAGATGTACTATCTTCACTATGAGAAGTCATGGAATCTCTAATCTGCTGTGAAGGACAAATACAAATCAACTGCTGCTAGCTGCATCTGGGCAAATTCAAGAATAGTTAGCAATTAGGATAATCTGCCAAAGCTAGTGTTGAATTTTCAGAAACATTAGAAGATGAAATCCAGAGCTTTTAAGGAGAGTAGCTGTTGTGTTTTAGCCAAATACTATGATTATGTCAGTATAGGAGGTGCTGGATGCTCCAAGCTACATAGGTAGTCAGAGTGGGTAATGCAGTATTATCTGCTGCTCTTAAATTCAATAAAACTTTGATCCTCAAACAGTGTCAGAGAAAGCTGGCTTAGCAGCTGTTCCTGTTTTAGTGTATTGACCAGTATACTGAAGATGAAGAAGTCCCCTCTTTGAGGAAGGGTTGCATGCTTCAGTTAGCACTTCTGGGGGGAGATGAGTGCTGTTTCCTAAGTATTTTTTGTGCTCGGGAGAACAATGCCTTGAGTTTTAACTTTATTTGAAGCTTGTGAGTGCTGTTAGAACAGCTTTCTCTTTTCCACCAAAACTCCAGAAGATGGAGACCTGCAGCATTCCTACAAGTGCAAATTGGACTTCATTGGGTTGTATTTTAGATTCAGAACAGAATAACAAACAAACAAACTTGATTACCTCTGTAATATTTAGTCTTTCATGCGCTGTTTGACAATTCCTAATTATTTTGAGTGGGTGTTCAGTTGAGACCTCCACTTGACTAATTATTTGTCTCCCATAGGCTTTTCTCCTTGTATCAAAATAAGACTCAAAGAAAGAGAAAAGACATATCTACAATAAAATACATTTATAGTATAACAGTAAAAATATGATAATTTTTTCTTTCAGAATGCTTATATAAACTTGTCAAACTTTATGAGCACTGATGTCTGTCAGAAACTTTTATAATGTAACATGGTTTTTATGATTCTAAATTTAATCTTTATTAGAACTATGTAATGCAAGCAGCTGATACAATGAGAAGATTCCCTCCTTTTCTTTGACTTGGAGGAGCAAGAGACAAATTATCATTAGAAAATACATACTTTGATCACAAATCAAAGTGTAAGCTATGGTTTAAAATGGGACTAGTTTCAAAGATGTGCAGTTTCACCTTTGTCACTGGGATGTCCTCTTGAATCAAGCATAATTTTATTCATTGGAAAGAGACTAAGAGAAGGAAACTTCTAGTCGTTGAGTATGTGTTCATTCAAAAAGCTGAAAAAGCTGCTAATACCATGAAGTTGTAAAGTGGAGGAACATCTGTCAAAGATGATACCTGACTGCTCTTCAAAGAAACCATTTTCAAGAACTTTATAAAACAAGGAATGATTTGTTCTTCTTTTAAGATGTTGAGACTGAAATGTAGTTTTATAGTGATATGCTTATGTCAGAAGTTGTTTGTACCTTTTTATTTAAGTACAGCTAATATAATTTACAAGAAAAATATTTTATCTTAAAAAAACCTAACACTGTGTAAACTCAGTCACCAGGCATTGTTAATTGATATGCTTGTGTTCCACCAGGAGAAGTATATGCAATTATAATACATTTATTAATAAAAAGTAACCCAGTCTTTCTCTTATTTTGTAGGCTGTCCCAATTACTTACCCATCAGTTTCAGGAAATGTGCCTATCAGTACACAGCAAGCCACAATCTGACATCAGTGAAAGTAAAACTTTAACCTTCTCTTGAGTTCCGATCTAACTCTCTTAAATTCTTACTTCAGCCTAGTGATTGCACGTCTTAAACTAAGCTGTATCTGGTTTAATGCCATATTTATTTTCCAGTTTATTTTCACCCATTAGCTCCAGTATGATCTAAATCAAAACAAACATCTCTCCAACCCACCTTGATCTCTTTCCTCCGTTTAATTTTGCCACTTCTAAAATAAAAATTAATTCAAATAGATCTTTTTTTAGAAAGGTATCTTTTTTGTACAATGGGGTTTGTGCAGTGTTATGATACATAATGACTAGAATAGTTGCTGTTTGAGACTTATGGCAAGATTTGACTTTATGTGCAGAACATCTTCCAGAAGACACTTGTAAAGCTTACCTTATAATTGCATTTTAAAAAAGTGTATTGCCTTGTCTGTTGTGTCATGGCTGCTGTCTGGTAAAAATCTGATTGGTTTCAGGTCTGTTGTAGTTCTAGTATGAGGTTTTGCAACCTGGAATTACACAGTAAAGGCAAATCTAACTTTCTTGAGGTATTGTAGTTTCCACAACTGAATTTCAAGTTTGCATAGTTCCACTGTATTTTGTAGAATGCATGCGCTAGCTTGCCTCCTTTTGTTTTAGATGTTCAGGCCAGAATAGATGTAATACTCTCTGTAAATTCCTGGTACTGTCTGTAGCAAGCAGTGAGGTAGCGAAGCAGTGAAGTCACGTCCTAAGTAGCATCTTCACGAAGTCAAGTCATGTACTAAGAAATGTTGAAGTAGTGAAGTAACATACTACATTTGGGCATACCTGAAATTCAGTCTCACTTATGGCTGCAGCATAGGTAAGCATACCTACAATAGTTTTCATTTAGCTACTGTATGTAACAATAGCAGTAGAGGTGCAGTTGTTTGGTCTTTTCTTCAAGCTACATGAGTGTGAGTATTCCCAGAACATCTTGTGGAAACTGGGCTAAACTGGATTCTGTGGTGTCACTCCTTTACTACTTGTACTTGCTAAATTTAAAGCAATTTCAGGTATGCAAGCACAGTAGTCACACCCCTGCTGCATTATAGGCATATGAGTAGTGCCAGTTAAACACTGTCAGAAGTGAATAATTACTCTTGCGAATACAGCTGTGGATTCTGCAGAAGGCAGAGCATTCGCTTCTCATCTGTGCTGTGCACAAAGCCGGTGTCTTGATTTAGGCCAGCACTGACAGATCGGCTATGTGAGTTTTGACCTCAGGGCATATGACTCTCATTGTTCTTGGCTTACGCACAAGGTAGTAGGGAGAAGTGGTTTTATTTTCAGAACTAGGATCAAAGACACTGCTATATATATACACAATGGTGTCTGAAGGCTGCATCATCCAGGTAGTGCGTTCATGCAGAGATGGGCAAAATGTGGCAAGTGATATTTTACAGTAGGTAACTTGCTTTAGCTGAGATCAGAATTATGCTGCAGTGTAAGCAGCATTGTAGTTTATGAATAATTGCTGTCTGAAACTCCACCCTTGTCTCCTGAGAGTTACTCTTACCTTTAAGCACCTGCTGCTTCTCCCCGTGGGAAGTGGTTGCTGTTCAGTAGCATGTAGCCTTGTCAGTCAAACCTGTTCCCAAATGGGGTTTCCCATCTCTAAGGTTTGGGTTTTTTTTAGATTGGGAGAGCTTCCAGTAAACAGTAAAAGTGATCTGTTACCAGGGGTAAGCAATCAGCAGTATCAGAAACATGAATGTTGCTGCTCTAATTTGGGTATTGTAGAGCGGTTTGACTTACTAAGGAGGCATTGCTGTTACATAGAGAAGAGTTTCTAGTGCAGTTGCTGTTTCATAATGGCAGTGTTTAGCACTGCCGCGACAGAAGCTATGCGGATGAGTCATGACCGTGACTTTAATCCATTTTGATACCCTACTGCCTGTGCTTCAGAAGCCTGAATATTCCTTGGAAATTATATATACTTTTCTCCTCAAGTTTTATAGTATATTAGACACTCCTGTTTTATTTTCTGTTTCATTTCTTTGAAAGTGTATTATGAGCTTGTCTTGCTTTAGAATCACATTTACTTCTGTTCTTTGTGCAAGTGCATAAATAAGGGAGTGAAATAAATAACCCTGTTTCTAATTAACACCAAAAACCAGAGTAACGTATTCCAAAGATCTAGACCACCATGTATTGCTAAACTGATTTCATGAGACCAATTAGTAAACTTTTTGCTTTGAGGCAGAACTGAGCTTGCTTCACGAGCCACAGAGTAGGCATATCTGACCTGTTCCCATCTTGTGTTTTCATTTAAATTAAGTGCTGCCTGTCTGAATGGAGAGAGTGGGAAATCATTCATGAATTGTAGAACCCAGTGTTTTGCTTTCCTCCAGTCATCAGGTGGCAATCTGGCATATAATTAGGATATGAATAATTTTGCCATGTAAATTCAGCTGTTAAAATACTAAAGGGTGTGGTGTCTGTTCCTTCTGATTTTTTCAAATTGCAAAATTTATATAAACTTACAATTTTGCCATATTTTTTCCATAGTCTGAAGCATGGGGTTTTTTTTAATAGTTTAGTTTTCTAGGTGTTTGAGTAACTTTACACTCAACTCAGAGTATGGTAAAGCACTTAAGATAATTGATGGAACCAGTGAAGAAGCTAATCTTTATACTCAGTTCAAACATTAACCTTCATTCTTTATAGAATTTATTTATTTTTTTAAAATTTTGTTATAGCTATGTAAATTCTCAGAAAACCTTCTCACAATCGGAGTTGTGAGTGGGTACAAAACTCTTAACTTTTTGTAGTATCATCATCCTGAGGCTTAAATGGTAGTAATGCAGTGTTTTTAGTAATTACCCAAACTGTTACAGTAGAGGAACGGATTATGCCCTGACAGAAATGAAAAAAGAAAAAATATTGTTTATCTCAGAAATAGCTTGTAAAAACTCACAATTTTTCTGTTCTTAATGTTGTTTTAAATGGTCTTACTGGGTATAGCACTACTGGATATTAAGTGAATACACTCATTTTCTGTCTGCTAGTAACTTTATTAATCGTCTTTCTTTACTAGACAGTTGATAAGTTTGGAGAGAGCAATAGAAAAGGGGAGACAATTTTTTGGAGCATTTCTGTGGGTAGCAGTAAGAAACTCAAGGTATCTGCTCAGCAGCCTCAGTCAACTCTGTGTGATGGTGTTTGGGCTACATGGACTTGGAATACTGTTCTGAGGATCAGCCTCAATTTGTAAACACGGGTAGTATAGGGCTAGTGGATAGCTGGGGAGCTTGATCCTTCTAATAGACTGTGAGATTATGTAGGGAGATAAAATTTAAACCCGTATTGAAATATAAAAATTATTCTTTATTCTCTCCCCCTGCTTTTCTTTTTTTGGGTGTGTATGTGTGCTATTTTAATGAAACATAACAAGCTTTCAAGATACTTGCTTGAGTTGAGTGGAAGTGAATTTTGGGAGGGGGTGCATTTCAACAGAAGTGCTTACGTACAGTTTTGCAGTACCAATCCATGAACTTTTTGATTGTAACTGTTCTCATTCTGGCTTTCTGTTCATCTATTGATGCTTTTTCAGGAAATTTCACTGAATATTGAAGGGGAACTCTCTTCCTAAAAGGAGTGGTAGGAAGATGCATGGGAGATGTGGAAAAATTAGTTAATTTTTCTTAAAGAACAAAAAGTTGTGGATGGAAGGGTTTGAGTAGATAAGTAAAACCTCTTTCAGATTGTGCCGTGAATTTTGTCAATATTTGGAGATTCTTCTGCCCCCAAACTAAAAAGTGGCAAGGCTGTAGATTTGTTCTGGCATGCTTTATTCATAAATGCTGTGCTTACACTCTTAAGCAGAGTAGCCTTTCTATGTAAATGAAGTTTTGGAAAATGGGAGTGATTTTGAATTTTGAATATATTTATGATTTTTTTTCATGAAGAAAGGAGATTAATTTACTTTGGTCATATTTCCACTGTCCAGAACTATCTCTTGCAATTTTGAACAGCATGAGTGTACTGAATTTAAAATTTTATTGCTCTGTATGCCTTTGTTGTAGGACCGTGTGTATGTGCAACAAAACAACGTGGAGAATGTCTACAATTTGGGCTTGATTATTTTTCGAGATCAAGTTGTACGCTATGGCTGTATTAGGGATCACCTGCGGCAAACTCTGCTGGATATGATTGCAAGAGAAAGGAAAGGAGAAGTTGTAGACAGGTAAGATGTTTGTAAGTGACTGTCTTTTGTTGTAAATCATACCTATCAATTTTTAAGAGTGAATCAAGAGCATACACAAATAAGTCATTACTTAAGGCTGCATTTCTAATCATAAGTAAAATTTCTCCATAATCTTGAACAACATATTTCTTTGTATGTTAAGGTTTAGCATAATGGTATTTATCTTGTGGTTTTTATCGAAACTTTTGTTAAATCTCTCCATTACCACCTTGTGCGAGACCATTTGGTTATAAAGCAGAGTTTTGACAATTCTCTGTCTCTTGCTACACTGTATTTCCTCTGTACTGAGAGGTTGTTTCATTTTCTTGTATCTGGGTTTTGATTTTGGGGTTATTTTAAGTTTTCTCTTTAAATTTTATTTCCCTTCCTCATGTTTTGATCCATCTGTTTCTTGGTAGTTCAGTTGCATCTCTGAGCTTTTAAATCTGTTCCTTGCGTTCTCTCTTCAGTTTAGTAGATACAGACTTTTGTGCCACACACTGCAGATATTGCAGTTGAAGTAACTTCAGATTTGCAAGTTTTCTTGTTCTTCTCCAGTTTCAGAGCAGCTGTTGGGTGTGGAGATATGTAAACTCCATGCTACTTTGGCTGCAGTTCTGTGACTGAGATTGCCCAACACGCAATTTATGAAGAGAAAAATACTCCCTGGCAACAGCTGTGTATTGTCCCCTACTGCCAGAAAGTGGAATTTTTTCCTGGATGCAGTTCTTTTGTTTTCACGTTTTATTGGTGTGTTTCTCTGCATAACGAAATGCTTAACTTGCTGATACATTTTCATTTTGTGTTTTGTTTTGTTTTTTTAAAAAAACAAACAACCAAAAAAACTCCACAAAATCTTAACCAACCAAAAAATCCAAACTTTGCACAGCAACTTCCCTCTGTGCAATTGTTTTGAATTGCTCAATTCCAGCCTACAAGTGCAGTTTTCAGTTTTATTTGAAGTAGTATTTTTGGTTATTTTCTTGTATGTTGAAATATATTCTTAATAGTTTTCGGAGTTAGTAGAACTTGAGACCTGCTTCCTTCTCATTGTTTTTATTCTAAACTAAGGATCTGACAGTGTTTATTAAATATTTTAAATACAATCGATCTTGCTCCTGTAATCTTCTTGAAAACCTGTCATGTACCAAACAGATTTAGGATGGACTTTCTATTACTATATTTTATTTAAGTTGATGTTATGTTCTGAGTTGTTATTCTGCTGTGTACTCTGTCTTACGAACATGTAGATTTCTCAAGTTGTTAACAACTTACTTTTTGGCAGAGGCGCAATAAGAAATGCTTGCCAGATGTTAATGATTCTAGGTCTTGAAGGAAGGTCAGTCTATGAAGAAGACTTTGAGGCTCCATTTTTGGAGATGTCTGCAGAATTTTTTCAGGTACAGCAATGTTGTAATATATTTGGGATGTTGTTATGACCGCCTGGAATTGTGAGAACCAGTGGTACTTTTAAGTAATTGCTGCTTATTTGATGAGCGTGTCCATCTCTGTTAAATGAAAAAAGAAAAAAAAATTACTAACTTTGTGGAAAAAGTAACACAAATTTTACAGAATTACCATAATTTGAATGTAGTTTTGAGCTATGGGTGCCAGTAACATCTAAGGTAATCCTCCTGGTAATCTGGTGCCTGCTTTGGGTGATTTCATGCAACTTCATGGCTGCATGCAGGGATAGACTGTCTTTTTAAAATACCAGTAGCATGAAAGGTTCAAACTGTTTCAGGCTGGGAATGGAGAGGGGAGACTACCTGTCAAACTGCCTTTGTTTCCTTAGTAGTTTCTACATTTGTGAGGGGTTTTGGGTTTTTTTGTAATAAAATGAACCGAGTCAAGGAATGAAGTGTATCCAAGTGGCTATCCAGTTGTTGACCAGCCACTGAGTAACACATTTTAAATATTTCCTGAGGATTTTTGTGAGATCGTTTCAGGAAAAAAAGCCAGTTGAATGGTTGTTGAATGTAATCATGCTCATCTGTTGTTGGAAATTGACAGAAATTGTAAAAACATGTTAAAAGATATCTAGATAAGATAATTTGTCAGTTTCCCAGTTCTTATACATGATTGACTGTCTGTCATATCCTCTGATCTCTAAACATCTTTGAAAATGAGAAGAATATGTTGCACAACCATTTAAAAGTCATTGCATTCTTTTTTTCATCAGTGCTACATAAAATTAAGAAAAAAAATTACTTTCATTTAAGTTTTCTTTCTTAGCTCTGCCTTTTTTTTTAAAAAAAAAAAAAAAAATCATTCCTGCAAAAGACATGTGCTGACCAGTATGGATAAAAAGTTTGATGTGAAATAATATGCTCAGCATTGTTACTAATGAGAATAATGAGAACTGTTGATCTTCACAACTGATAAATATGCCATAAACTGGTATTTGAAAGGAATTTTTGCCTCTTCCCTCTCCCCATCCTTCTGTTTTCTTTGGACCAGTGGCTAAAACTGTAGTTGGTAACTGGAAACTAGGTTAGCTTAGGTTGTTTTAGAATGAAAAATACCATGCTCATGTTGCACGTACCCCCCTTATGTATGTAACACAATCAGCATAATAGAACCTTTATTCTGTGTTAAGCATGTATGTAAATCTCGGGTGTGTATCAGTCTCATTTGTTGGACATGCTGGGCTTGATTTGAACTTATTTATAAATGCTGATCTGAAATAACTAGTACGTTTCCTTTTTCCCCTTTAAAAAAAAAGAAGTCTAAAGTATTAATTTGTGTTAATCACAGATGGAAAGTCAGAAATTTTTAGCTGAAAACAGTGCTTCTGTATATATAAAGAAAGTAGAAGCTAGAATTAATGAAGAAATAGAACGAGTGATGCATTGTCTGGATAAATCAACAGAAGAACCAATTGTGAAAGTTGTTGAGAGGGAGCTTATTTCCAAGCATATGAAAACTATAGTGGAAATGGAGAACTCTGGGCTAGTTCATATGCTGAAAAATGGGAAGACAGAAGGTAAGACTCCATCATATGAGAGACAGAAATGCTTACGATAACTGCATATTGTTTTTAAACATTGGATAAGTCAAGCTTAATGTTAGCGTTCCTGTGTAATTGTAAAAACACTATGGTGGCTCTGTTTTGCAAGCATCTGAGAATATTGCTTCAGAGACTTTTAGAAGGCTCGTAAAACGGAGCCTGTATGTGTAAGTTGTTTCTACTTTTTTGGTAAGCCAAGTATCTCTTAAGAAAAGTGCACTTCTATTTGTAGAGGTCTCTGTTACCTGTTTTCTATGGGCCATTTTATTACTGCGGTTCATCTAGTATGTAGCTGTCAAAATAGGTCAAAGCTTTTTGGCCCACAAACAGTTATTTAAAAAGTGCTAGTGTGAATGACTTATTTAATAGAAGTATTGCAGGACCGGTTCTTGGGGAGAGAGCTTTGTTGCAGAAAAAATGTTGCCTGTTTTTAAATAAGAAGCAGATTATGGAAGTGGTTGAAAAAGAAGAGCTTGGCTTGGTTCGGTTTTCCCTAATAGAGGTTCATGTGGGGCAGAATGACTGAATGAAAGTTACTGTGGAAAGAAATAGAACACAAGTTTCTAAAGCAGCATAACGAAGAGAGTGATTATAATATCAATATTTGGAGATCGATGCTTGTGCTAAAGTTGTGAGAATGGGGAACAGACTTGCTGCTTAGATTGATGGCCTTTGTTCATTAAAGCAGCTTCACAGTTACTAGGTGATAGTCAGAGTGACAAAGTGAGCAAATTTCTTAGCTGTAAGAAAAGAGAATTACTGTATTGAAAACAAAAGTGATGATACTATACTTAACATTTTTTTCTTTAGTATCCATTTAAAATAGCCTGAGGGTACAAGGATATTGAAGGATATTCATAAGATACAGGAATTAGTTTAACTTTTATAGGCCTTGGTTTGATTTAGTTGAATACTAGAGAAGAAATACTTGCTGCATTGTGAAGATAAGATTTCACATAAATATAATTTCACCTAAATATACAAGGATGGATTGCTCTTTTGGAAAGCTATGTTTAATGTAAGCTACTTCTTTTCATTTTAGATGGATGAAACAAAGTAGCGTAAAATTATATGGCTGACTTTAAGACAAATATGAATTAAACTCCAATTTTTACCAGTTTTTGCTTTTAATACGGAAACAAGCACCTCATTAGTGTTGTCTTATTTGCTTTAACTTAGATTTTTCTTACAACTTTTAATACAGTATTTGATTTTGGGGATGATAATCTTGGAAGCTACATTCTCAAATACCATTGAAAAACATAAGCTTACTGAAGCTTTAAGTGCACTGTCCTTTAGCACAAGCATCAACTTTTGCTGGCCTGGTGATCAACAATAACAGATTCCATGCTATAGACAACCGAGAATAATTGAATACAATATTTGTTTTTAATTTTGTGGCTGCTGCGGTTAGCGTGTTGTCAGGGGTAAAGGAAAGGGGACATCAGAAGATTCGGGGTAAAGGAAAGGGGACATCAGAAGATTCTAGTGCCTGAGCTATTATGGGATGCTTTTTGTGGCTCAAGTGGCTGAACTTTTACTGTCAGCTTTTGCTATGAGATCAATGAGTTACAGAAGTGTAACAGACAGAGGGTGTCCTGCATAATATCTCATTCTTGTTTCCAGACCTTGCTTGCATGTACAAGTTGTTTAGCCGTGTGCCAAATGGTCTGAAGACAATGTGTGAGTGCATGAGCTCATACCTGAGAGAGCAAGGCAAAGCACTAGTTTCTGAAGAGGGAGAAGGAAAGAATCCAGTTGACTACATTCAGGTAGTTAAATATTTAAACTTTCTTTTCTTCTATCTTTCCCATGTTCCCCAGAGAAGCAGTTATCTACATGATTGGTAAGGTAAACCATGATAACTGATTCAAAAGGGATTATTATTAATAAGCTACATTTATAATTTTGTTTAAAATGTGTATTTTCTGACTTTTTCAGATACATTTAGAACTCTTCTTTTACTTAAATTGCTCAGAAAGCACATGCTCAGTTTTTGTGCTCTTGGTAGCTGCTTTTATTAAACAACATATTCAGGCTAATTATCTTACTACTGGGAACTTTGTGGATTATCCTAAATGATATTTGCCTCCAGACTGAGTTGTACATCTGCTGGCAAATAGCATTTTGTTTAATTTTATGTGCTGCTAGCTATCAATGTTTATTGAGACAAAAATCATATGACAGTATTTCATGGCAAGATTAACTATGACTGAGGTGAATGTGTTATAAATCAAAACAAATTACTTGCTTCATTCTCAGTCTCCCTGAGAAACAGAACACTTCTGCATGTTAAGACATAAGTATTCTTTCTTGTTCTCCATCTCTCACTAAGAAGTCATGTGTACCATTAATTTATCAAGATGACAAAATACGCTTCAGGAGTGTTTGTCGTCTTTTCTCTCCCATTATCTCTGAGAAGATGGTTTTAAATTTGCACATAAAGTCTTTAGAACTCATTGAACTTTAAGGAAATGTTTTTATAGCTGAAAGATGTTTTATACTTAATGTGAAAATGTGTATTCATTAAACAAGTTTGTGGTTAGTTTTTTTTTTTAAATGTGTAGTTGAAGTCCTTGTGTCTGGTCTTGATGAGAAACATTTAATGCTATATGTCTATTATAATCTCTGCTGTTTTGTTTGAAATCAAGAACTTTGCTGGAACTGGTTACTATTAGAAGAAGCCATTTGAGTATACATTTTTGACTGGATTATTAATTTTCTGGCAATGCTTGAAGCAAACTTCTTACCAAGCTTGGACAAGAATCACCTCTCCAAGGATTGTTAAAAAGAAGAGAGAATACCCTCTGAAACTTACTAGGTTTAATGATTAAAGGCTGTTATATTTTTTGTGGTAGTATGTTTTTTTAAAAAAAAAAAAAGGAATGGGGACAAATGATGTGGAAAATAAGTATCTGGATTACTTTGAAGTAATTTTCACTCCTAAATCCTATGGACCTAAAGGGGTATTATAAAAACTTAACTGAGAAAGAGTTAAAAACTTAATTATAAAGATGCTGTTGATGTTTCCTGCTACAAAGGTGGATAGCATGATAAAGCTGAAGACTTACAGCCATACTAACTGTGCTTAGGCAGAGCTTATCCTCTCAGCCCATTAGTATGTACCCCAGCCATCTCGTGAAGATGTCCTAGGGAAGAGATTGATACTTGATTACCGCTAAACCCCCAAACAGATTTATCCTCCACTTCCATTGACACAGTGGAAGAAGAGAAGACACCCCTGAACTGAGAAACCACCTCACTCATTTCTCATCTCAGCCATGGTCATCTGAATCTTTCAAGGACTTAAATAGCAGTAAGAAGACAGACAAGGAGACTACAGTATACCATCAAGAAAAAAGCTTCATCATGGTCCAGCACTGCTTCTGCAACATGACGTCATTAAAACCTGAGCATAATTGGCAAGATGATTGCAAAAGCATTGCCAGGGAATTAGATTTAAAACTTCTTATAATAATTAGAAGGGATGTTGAAATGCTGTTGTAATTTAAGGCACTAACAGTTTGTCCTGTTTAACACCAGGTTGTTCAGATGGTGTACTCCTGGAGAGGAGACATAAGCTAACCTTGGTAAACAGAGAGATAGTGGGATTTACTTTGAATTTAAAATTTCTAATACGCATTAATTAGCCTGTCTAAAGACCATTCCTTTAAGTGAGATGGTGAGTTCCTAAGAAACATTACTTCTTTGAGTAATTCTTGAATGGCTTCTTTAAGTAACCACATATAAATAATTTCTAAAGAAACCAAGGACTTTAAGATCATTTAACCTGAACAGTTTTTGTGGGCAGTTGTTATCCATGATAAATTTTAACTGTCAAGTGAAATTTTCTTCCC